GTGCTCGGTCGAGGGCCTCATCGCCGGGGCCGAGCAGGTCTACTACAGCACGGCCGTCCTCATTGGGCTTTTGGCCGCCCACACCAAACCCGCCGCGATGGCCTCCGCCCTGCACGAGGCCGACGAGGACGACGACGCCCCCTCGTCGGCCTTAAACTCGGACGAGGTGTGCGAGCTGGTGCGGAAGGAACTCGCCCCGGGGGGGGGCAACGGTTTAATAGTCAACTCAAAGACGGGCGAGGCATCGGAACGGCCAACCCCCGCCACCGCGAAGGAAAAGGTGGCGAATAGCATCACCGCGGTCCTGCCTATCGCACGTCCCCTGGCCGAGACGATCTACAAGACGTGGATGTTGCATAACGATGGCCGGAGCAACCTGTTTAACATCGCGGCACCCTCCGATTACGTCTTGGATGTCAAACTTTTGGCTTTTGTCAATTTGCACCCGTCCTCCTCGCCGCCCCCCAACGACCAGGGGGTTTTGAAAGGCGGAGACGGGTCAAGCGCACCGGAGATCCCACCCGGGCCGGTTAACCTTTCCACATCTACATCGCAAACGGCAAACGAACCGGAGCCCTCATTAGGGGAGGCGGTTCACGTACAAGCGATCAACCCAGGCCCTGTTCAGACGGACACTACATCCACAACCACCCACGTTCTAGCGCTACGTAATCCACAAATCGACGATTCCGCGGCTGACTCGGTTCGACGCCTGGAAGGCCCCGCATCATCCCCCAAACGGTTTCATCGTCTCCGCGCGAGGATGCAAAAGTGGGGTTCGGTTCTTTTTTCAACGCGCAAAGGATCCAGCGTGGAGAAGAAGGACCCCACGCCCCAAACGATTGCCGCCGCAATCCACGAATTAGACCACGAGAGCCCCCCAAAGGGGGTTACCATTTGCATTAGTGGAAGCAAATTCTCGAATATCCCTTCGACCGCGCGGGCCTGCGTGCTTCTAACGTTGGATACCGTAGTCCCGCCAGGCCGCTATACCAGCGATTATGATTGGTACTACAGGCGAATTGTTGGCTTTGAAAGCGAGTCCGAGCGCATCATGGTGGCGCGTGTGTTTTCCCAAAACAGCCCTACACTTTTGGTTTATTTCTTTGATTTTTTGAAGCGCATGCTCATAGGGAAGGAGTTGGAGTTTGTTCTTAACAGGGGGATTTGCAAGAAGCTTAGTATTCCAGAAGACGCTTCGAAATATATACCAGCAATGCGGAAGCTTATGTTTATGTATATGGATACCTCAAGGAGGTGGATTTTATCCGATTTGACTCCCCTTTCCCCAACTAACTACAAGGTTGTAGTTGAGAAATGAATAACATAAGCATCGCTCAGGTTGTGCATATATATTATTCCTTTGTGAATTTTTGACTTTGTATTCACACATGCTTGGATTTTTTAAAAAAGTAGCTTTAAATATATATATATATTTATATACTTATTTAAACACAAACAAAAAAGGGTTGAGTTTTTTTTGATATTCCTTTGAAATTTACTTTGCTGATCAAATATTGGTGTATCAAAAAAATTCCTCAGTTAAGGAATAGAAAGCAAAAAGGAATATACGGAGGACGGTGTTTGGGACTATCATTAATTATACACTATTAGAGATGGGCTGAACTGGTAGGGCTAAATTCTATTTTGATCACGGATGACGATTCTAATATGCTGGAGAGACTCCAAGTGCAATCAAGTCATACTCTAGAATTCGTATTCTAGTGAATTTAACATCATTGCTTCTTTAATTATAAATCCTGTTTTTTTTGCTTATAGATATATACATCTCTATATATTGATATTGCGGTGTTGAGAGTTAGGCATATGTGTATGGATGAGCAATCATATTTACGGTTTTTTTTGTTTTTTTTTAACATTTTTATCCGCTTCGACCTCTATTTTTAGAAAAAGTAACCTAAATAGCAGCAGGGTGATGGCGCATCTTCAATCGTTATCCAACCGGCTTGACCCCACCCGGGGCACCAGTCTTGCGCGCGTCAAAAGTCAGCAGCTCGCGCGGGAGGAGGACGAAAAAGTTCGGATGCGGCGCATCAAAGGGACCATCGTTCTGATGGAGCAGTTTCTGGTAGACCAAGGCTATATGAATAGCCTTCAGGCGCTCCAGCAGGAAAGTGGGGTATCGCTCCAACAAAACTGCGCCGCGGACAACATCGACCTGCTCTCGGTGGTAAACGAGTTCGAGCAGTTCTACGAGCTCAAGTACCAACGTCGGCCGCGCTTATTCCGCCCGCAGGGCCCCGAGGACCCCGTGCCGCGCGAGAAAGGCGGCGAGCGGATGTTAACGCGGAAGCCGGGCCCGCGGCTCCCCCCTTCCGGCGCCCCCGCCGAGCCCGGCTCGGGCTCGCTGAGCCACGGCAGCCTCTCCGCCACGTCGCTCGCGCGGCGGGTGGAGCCGCTGGAGGCCGGGCACCGGAACGGCAGCGCCTCCCCCACGGCCCCCAGCGAGAGCGCGGAGCCGGGAAAGGGCGATAAACCGGGCGCCGGCCTCGGCGGGGTGAAAGGGGTCAAAATACACCCCCCGGCGCTGCCCTCGGTCGACGCCGCGGCGAAACCCGCCGAGGAGGCGAGCCTGTTGGACGCCTTCTACGGCCGCGCCCTCAAACCCCTGCCTTTTTTCCCCACAGGCGAGCTGCACGACCTGGCCCAGATTATCATGCGGGACATCGTCGACACCAACCCGGCGGTGCGCTGGTCCGACATCGCCGAGCTCGACAACGCCAAGCACCTGCTCAAAGAGGCCGTGGTGATGCCGGTGAAGTACCCGGGGCTTTTCGAGGGGATCGTGCGGCCGTGGAAAGGGATTTTTCTCTTCGGCCCGCCCGGGACCGGGAAGACGTTGCTCGCCAAGGCGGTCGCCACGGAGTGCCGGACGACCTTTTTTAACATCTCCGCCAGCACCGTCGTCTCGAAGTGGCGGGGGGACTCCGAGAAGCTGGTTCGCATGCTCTTTGATCTCGCCGTGCACTACGCGCCGAGTACCATCTTTATCGACGAAATCGACTCCATCATGTCGACCCGCTCCTCGGCGGGCGAGCACGAGGGCTCGCGGCGCATGAAGACCGAGTTGTTGGTGCAGATGGACGGCTTGGCGAAGCGGCGCGGGGGGAATATCGTGTTCGTCCTGGCGGCCAGTAATACCCCGTGGGATTTGGATGCCGCGATCCTGCGGCGCTTGGAGAAGCGCATTTTGGTCCCACTTCCAAGCCTGGAGGCCCGTCGGCTGATCTTCTGTCGGATCTTACACGACAACGTCATCACCACGGCGGAAGACACGAGTTCCCCTGATGAATTTGATTGGTCCCGGTGCGCAGAACTGACGGAGGGGATGTCCGGTGCGGATATCGATATTATCTGCCGCGAAACCATCATGCGGCCTATTCGAAAGTTGTTAGAAAAGCTAGAAGAGGCCGATACGGCTCCGTCGTCTTCTTCTCGTACGTTGGATTGTACCAACATCAAAAGACCCAAGGCATCGATGGCGGATATCGAAGCAAGTATTGCCTGTACCTGCAGTAGTATTAGAGACGGCGATCTGGGGCGATATCAGGAGTGGGCCAAAAAACATGGATCCGACATGTCGGTCTAGTTCTATTAGTGTACATTCAAAGTTTATGATGTGTAGGCCAGTCCAACTTGTATTTTTCGTTGTTTGGGATTTTGAATTTCTATACCGATCGCTGCAACGTTGAGCAAGTTGGAATACCGATGTCGTGGATTCCTCCAAATGTAACTTAACCACGAAAAAATGCGCCTAAAAGGGAAAATAAAATATCCTATTGCTTATGGGTTGGGGTAATACACATCATTCCTATTCAAACACGCAATATTTTTGACCCCTCAACACATCTACTCACAAACAACATGGAAAACACATAGGCACTATCCCAATCTTACTGTTTGCAACGCAAGTTATATGGGTTGACATTTCATTTTGTACAAGTTTTTACGTCTTCTTTCTCCTTTTTTTTCTTTTGAAGTTGCGTATTGGACGATCAGTCTTTTTGTATTTTTTTTTTTCATACTCGGAATTTATTCTGGGAGGGTGAAAAAAAAACAGAGAAAGTTGCCACACTCTAGTTGTTTGTTTTATCGTCGTGCTTTTTGCGCCCTTTCTTTTTTTTCCCGCGCACTTCAACGCAAACTCCAAGCAATAGACCAGGCCCCCTCGTACCGTGCAATTTGCGCCGATTGCATGTGGCGTTACCAACACCAACACCAACAACCCATTACCCTAATAGATAGAACTTGCTAGACGACCAACGATGCAGGATATTTTCACGCCCGAGGGCAACTCCCTCCCATCCATCGTCTTTGACTGCGGTGCCCACCACACCCGGGCCGGCTATGGGGGGGGCTTTAGCCCGCGCCTGGACATTCCCACCCTGGTCGGCTACCCGCGGCATCGCGGGGTCGCCATGGCGGCCGGGATGAACGAACTCGAGGTGGGCGAATCGGCCCTCTCCAAGCGTGGGATGCTGTCCGTTTGCCATCCCATCGAGGACGGCTTGATCACGAACTGGGACGCCATGGAGGGCTTCTGGAGCGATCTGTTGTACTCCCAGCTCCGCGCCACCCCCGAGAGCCACGCCTTCCTGACCACCCAGCCCGTCAACACGCCGGCGAGCCAGCGGGAGGGGGTGCTGGAGCTGCTGATGGAGACTTTCCACGTGCACTCGCTCTACCTGGGGACCTCGCAGGTGCTGAGTTTGTACGCGTACGGCCTGACGACGGGGGTGGTGGTGGACAGCGGGCTCGACCGGACCCTGGCGGTGCCGATCCACGAGGGCCACCCGATGGGGCGCCACGTCACGGAAAGCCGCGTGGCGGGGGCGCTGCTGACGAACTACCTCGGTAGTTTATTGCGGGAGGAGGGCTACAGCCTCAGCACGGCCGTCGAGCGCACCTTGCTCAACGAGGCAAAGGAGGACCTCTGCTTTGTCAAACACCCGCGGTGGATGGATAAGTGGATGCACGCGTCCCTTCCCGAGGAGACGTTTCCAAACGACAACTTGAGCTCCTTCGATTGCAGCAAAAATAGATTGGAGGTTGGGTTAAGTGCGGGCACCGTGGAGGAATACGGTAATGAGTCCAAGGAGATCGCGTTTGACCTCCCAGACGGGCAGTCCATCCCCTTGTATCACCATAGGCATTATACACCTGAGGTACTTTTTGACTTTTCCATACTTGAAGGTAAGGATTGGTTAGAAAAGAACTCACAGAATAAATCCAATGAAAGCAATAACAAACTTGACTCAGGGGACCCATCGCACATCTCATCCTCCAGCTATGAGCCTCCTTACAAAGTTCGAATCGAGCTTGGCGAATGGTTTACACCGTCCTTTCCAAAAGGCATTAGTTGGCTTCCTTTTTCAGCCATTCATAGGTGTGACCAGTCCTTGCAGCCGCAGCTGTACGCCAACATCGTTTTGGCAGGCAATACACTCAACTTCCCCGGCACACGTAGCCGTATGAATGAGGAGATCATCCAACTATATCGTGAAAAGCACTCGAACGAGGCAGTGTTGCCAATAAATGTCAGAGATATGAATTGCAGAGGCTACAGCGCGTGGTTAGGGGCGTCGATTCTATCTCAGATGAACATGTTTCCCCAGATATCGATTACCCGAAAGGAATACGAAGAAAATGGACTGCGAGTCGTACACTATAAGTGCTAAGAACTAGGAGTTCTTGATAAACCGTAAGGGGATGCAAAAACGACACAATCCAAATACAAAGCATATATCTTAACAACACGTTTCCCGCCAAAAAATATGGACTGTTGACTATTGGGATCTTCAAGGTTCAAAATATACACGGATTCGTGTTTTCTGAGGTTATCTTACTTCCACCATCTATCCCCCAATGTAAACTAGGAGTAGACTAACTAAACTGAAATGTGTATAAAGGAGTGTACAAAAAAAGAAAGGAGGGGGGGGGGGACAGACGCATAATAAAACTTAAATGATAGACTAGAAAACTCCTATATCAGCTCCTTTTTGAGTAACGTCCCTATGCACCGATCCACACAAATCATGGTGAGTCCTACTCAAATACACACGCACATTTGTGCACACACTTTTTAACCTCAATGAACTATGGTTTTATGAGTCTTTGCTTTCACTTTGTTCGATCACTTTTTTTTCCCGCTTGGTTATTTTCGTTCCAAAACTTTGGTTTTTATTTTCCATTCTTTATTAAAATGAATGCAAGAGTTATGAAGTCAGGGTTATTTAACCGTGACGCGCTCACTAAGGAATGTCCCGCCGGGTACCTTAAAATATGCGAAGGTTCCACCGCAGTGCTTGTTGCGCCCCCTATTCCAGCGGCTGGCAATAAAAAAAGCACAACTACAAAACCTAAGGACAGCAAAGGACACGACTCCAACCTCAATCTAAGGAAACTGTGGTGTAATACTGACAATGCCGAGCACGACAACGAGGACCAATCGGTTTTTTACAACCCGGCGCAGGTCGTCAATCGGGACCTCAGCGTGTGCGTGATTGAGACTTTTTCCCAAATGCGGCTCAGCGAACCCCGCAGGCGTGGCGCCAGGACGGATGGCCTCACCATTCTGGAGGCCCTGAGCGCCACGGGGTTGAGGGCGATTCGCTACTACAAGGAAATTTCCAACATCCGCTACGTCATCGCAAATGACTTGGATCCGGGCGCCGTGGAGTGCATTTCGCGCAATTGCCTCTACAACAACGTCCCCGTTTCGCAGCCGACGTTCGACGAGAACTTTCCATCCTCGCAGATCACGTTATCGCGGTCGAGCGAAGCGGACACGGCCGATCCGGCCCACCGGGCGGGGGAGATCCTCTCAGGCGGTGGGATAATCCCCAATCTCGATAACGCCATCGACCTGATGCACCGCCTTTCCGTCGACCCAGGGGTCCATCCCGGCAGGCGTCTTTGTTTAGTCGAGACCAAAACAATGGCCGACAAGGATCCCTCGAAGGCGTGGGGCATCCCCAAGCCGGTCCTTCAGCAGGAGCTTATGGATGTGGTGGATCTTGACCCTTACGGCACCGCCTCGCCCTTCCTCAACGCGGCCTTTGGGTGTATTAAGGAAGGTGGGTTAATGCTCGTGACGAGCACGGACAGCCCCATCCTGTGCGGAAACTACCCCGGGACCTGTCAGGCGAAGTACGACTCGATTCCCTACAAGTCCTCGCATTGCCACGAGATGGCGGTTCGGATTCTCCTGGGGTGTATGGAGCGGGCCGCGAACAAGCATAAAAAGTACATCGTCCCGCTCCTGAGCCTTCAGA